ACCCAGCTCCTAATTACTTTTTTTTTTTTTTTTGAACAGGGGGAATGTGAGGAAGGGGAAGAGAGACTGGATACTGTAGCTTTGAATTCTAATTAAAACCATGAGTTTAAGTGCATTTAACTAAAGCAGTCGAAATTGTGGGTACCAACTCCTAATTACTTATCCATGTAGGAGTTAGCATTTTCATATACAGATTAACTATGAGATATATTTGATATTTTATTTAAAAAGTTTTGGGTATAGTTTTTAGATTTGATATTTATCGAAATACTTGAAGATCTATACTTCATACCTAATTTAATAAGTACTAGGTAACTTACAGATATATATTTATGTGCTTGTTGAATAATATTTTGTTTTAATTTTTTTTAAAATTAAAATTTAATAAAATATTATTTATTACAATCTACACTTAAATATAATCTAAAATAACAATAAAGAACTAAAATTTGGTTTTATATTAAGAACTTAAATCTGCATACTATTAAAAAACTAAACTCAATTAAATAATTAACAATAAAAAACAAAAAATATGTACCCAAAAAATAAAAAATGAAAATAAATTAAATAATAGTATGAAAGTCTTTCAAAGAAGATGTTTCGGTTTTTAGACTTATAATCTTCTTAATCCTCTACTTCAGTTTGTTAGAAAAAAATAATGACCGATGGTATTATATTTATTTTAATATTTTGATGTTCATATTTTTAACTTATGATTCTTATCATATTAAATTTAGAGTTTGAAATTAAAAAATTGTCTATACAATAAACAAAGAATAAGGCTCGAAAATCACTAACAAAAAATGTAAAAGGAATCTAAATTTGAAGTTATAAGGACTCACTGTTACCTAAAAGTGCAAGAAAAGGAAAAGGTTGTTGATTGCGAGTATGATATATTTTTGATTTAGGATTTTTTATTTATAAGTTTTGTGTGATTTATTTTATTTTTATTTTCGTATTTTATTATTTTTATTTTAAAAATTATTATTATCATATAGATATTAAATATAATAATTACATATAAAATTTTGATTATACAAGTATATATAACATGTCAATTAAATAAATTGGTTAAACAAATAAGATAAATAATTTTGAATCCTTATACTTATTATTTAATTTAATATTTATAAATATATTATTTTTATATCTATTTACTCATTTACTTTTTTTTTTATAGTTTAAATAAAATATTTATCCAAGCAAGTAAAATACTGTACCAATGCTCACCCCTACACGCACGTGCCATTAGGCCCATTATCCAGCTCTGAGCAAAAAGGCAAAACATGTAGATTAACCCCTCATCTTTTTAGGCAATGACAAATTACCCTCTAAACTAAATTCACGCACTAACTCACCCTCAAATTTATCGTCAGTGGCAAAATAGTCATTGAGCAATGGATTACGTCAGCAATTCGTCCAAGACTACCGATAGGCTACTTTTGTTGGCAACCATAGATTATATGGCGAAAAGTTGGACAAGTTGTGAGATGCTTGAATGAATGGCCTCAAGTTGTGACATACTACAAATTAAAATAAAAAAAAAAAAAAAAAAAAAAAAAACCATTAGAGAAATTGTCTTCACTCTTAACAACCTAATGATTGTCTTTTTATGATAGAATATCGGTTTATTCGAAGTTTGAAGATACCAAGACACTGTCCAACTCTACTAAATAAAGCTCGAGGCTTTACATTGATTGAACTGCATAGACTAACGCAACTCTCAGTACTCTGATTCTTGTTCCTTTTCTCTTCTTAAAATGCCCCTGTTTTGTACGATGAAAAGATTTTCCGGCCTTCTTCTTCCCTGCTTTTTTTTTATTCTTCTACTTTTCTGTTCCTGCAATGGATACAGTGATTTGGAGGTCCTGTTGAAGCTCAAGAGTTCCATGACTGGACCGAAAGGGTCGGGACTAGAAGATTGGGA